CAACAACAACAACAACAACAACAACAACAACAATCACTTTACCCGAACGCTCAGTGTTCTCACCAGTGCCAGGGTTTTCATGCGACGCAGCCAATACCCCCACTTTGTGGGGGGGCAGTGCAAGCTCTACCAAATATCCACACGACTCTTCGCCACCACCCACACCCAGCTTCCCGCCCTATGACGTTCGGACACTTCACTTCGTGGCCTGCGGACGACCGTGGCTACTACACTGGCGTGGAGTACACACCCACAGACGTTGTTAAGCCTACGTTCGTACACCCACAGAAGTTGTTAAGCCTTGTTAACCCACAGAAGTTGTTAAGCCTTCCACAGAACATCTGTTGCATATGATGCATATGGTACATGATACACATGATACACATGATACGTACTCACAAGATAGTTGATCACATCTTTAGGGCAAATACCTGAGGGATGTGGGAATACACAAGAGAGAGAGAGGATATGGTTGTCCCGATGGTTGTCTCGATGGTTGTCCCGATGGTTGTCCTGATGGTTGTGGTTGTCCCGATCGTTGTCCCGATGATTGTCCCGATGGTTGTCCTGATGGTTGTGCTTGTCCCGCGGTGCTAAAATTCTTAAGAAGCCCAATGGTTTTTGGAGATTTCGGCGTGCGCGCGCGAAAAAAAAACGAATGTGTCCCGCATGGTATTATTTGACAGGGATGATGGCCCTGGCAGGTGCGCAACCGTTGTTGGAGAAGTTCGAAGCACGTGAAAAAGTTGCTCGCAAAAGCCCGTTTGACAGAAATGTTAAAAAAGTGTTGGGTTTCCTACGAATCCGCAAGAGCGCGCGGGATGAGATTTTGACATTTTTTTGTTGAAAAACCATTGGTTTTTTGATGTTTTTATGTTAAAATCGCTCCGAACACTAAGCTTTTGGAAGGATTTCGTCTTTCGCGCGCGAATGTCCACTTTACCTTATTTTTTGCAAGGGATTCTTGAAATTTGATTATATTAGAACAAGAAATGTCATTTTCTATTGTTTTTTGCAAGGGAAAGCGGATTACAACAAAACAACCGGATCCTGTACACACCCTCTTTTCTGAGGATTCCTCACGAAAATGATGAAAATGTAGCTGCGGCCTAGGCGGCGCAGGGGGGGCGCGCACCAGGGGGCCCAACAATAATTATTCTTTAGAATAAATAATGTTCAACAACAGCAACAACAACAACAACAACCACAGCCACAACCACAACCACAACAGCAACAGCAACAGCAACGGCAACAACAATAACAACAGCAGCAACAACAACAATAGCAGCAGCAACCACAACAGCAGCAACAGCAACAACAACAACAACAGCAGCAACCGCAGCAGCAACAGCAACATCAGTAGCAACGACGACATCGACAACGACATCGACCAAGACGAGTCAAACGGAACAGGCTCTTCCACGCGCCGACAGGGTCTGCGGATCAGGGTGTGTGGTTGGGCCAGTTTTCGTTTGCGCGTCCCCGGAGATTGGCGTCGTTGTGCGAGGCCTCAGGGTGTCCCCACGGGCTCCCTTCTTCGAGGACGTGGCGCTCCCTCGAGGCAGTGGCGGCCCTCTCGTGGTGATAACCCCCCCCGTGGCAGTGCCCTCCGGGAGTGCGCGAGGGCGGCGGGGCTTCTGAGGAGCCGCCCGCTGAGGAGCCCTCCGCGGCTTCGGAGCAGGCTCCTCGGAGCCCTGGAGGCCCTCCGAGCCTCCTGAGGAGGCCCTCCCTTTCGTCACCACCCGCCAAACCACCCCAACCCAACCCGAAGGCCCCAATTTGCCCTCCATTTCCAGTTGGGGGGGGGTCGGGGAACGTCGAGAAAACACACATGAAGCCCGTACCCCCCCCAACCCGAAATTCGGGTCTTCGGGTTGGGTTGGGGTGGTTTGGTAGGTAGTCATTGGCGTCGTGGAAAAATCAGGGCGGGAGGTTTTTGCCTATTTTCGGCCCTGGGGGGCCCTCGCCGGGCCTCGGGACCGTCAAGAAGCGACTCGGGACGAAAAACCGGTCCTAGGGACAGGGTCGGGACTTTCGAGGGTTCCGTCTTGAAAAAATCAGGACGTCGCATGCTTGTGATTACACCAGAGAAAAGCCACAATCAGTGGATGGTTTGGAGATCGACGGGGAACCCGGGAACCCGGAACCCACCGAAATCGACCCGGAACCAATAACCAGAGCCCGGAACCGGGAACCCGAGAACCCAGCCGGCCACCAAAATCGGCGGGATGTCTTCGCCAAATCTGACCGTTTCCACTATAGGACCCCTTCCGTGCAAGCACTGATGGGGGAATACGTGCTCCAGATTTCGTAATAAAAGGGAGGGGGGTCTCATTTCGGGGGGGGTCTCTTCCAGGCTATCTTGGAGGGCCTGGGGGGGTCTGGGGACGATGTTTTGGAGGGTTCCCCCACGGGGGAGGTCTGAAACGGCTTGTCTTGGAGGGTCCAGACCCCCTCCCTTCTATTACGAAATCTGGAGTACTCAAGGACCTCCTTCGTCGGCAGGTCGTGCGCTCACTCGAACGCTCGGTGGCGAACGCACTGGGAGTGGGATGGGATCGTTCATGTTTCGACACCGTCAAGCAGCAAGCCGACATCAAGAAAAACACCCCTCCCTTCCCTTCTATTACGACCCCCTCCCTTTTATTACGACATCTGGAGTATGAGGCCCCACCGGGTCTCGTTCCAGGCGACGGTGCAGACGATGTCAAGCTCCGCGGCGGGCCCCCCCGCCGGCCCCGCGAGGTGCCCCGGAGAGGGGGACCGCGGGGATGCTAGGGGCGCTCCAGGGAGGGCCTCGCCTGCGAGGGCCGAAGGCGTTGGCATTCTCTCCCCTCCTCTCCTCCACCCTCCCCCCTCTCCCCTCCCCCTCCCCTCCTCCCTCCTCCCACCTCCCCTCCTCCCTCCTCCTCCTCCTCCTCCTCCTCCTCCTCCTCCTCCTCCTCCTCATCCTCCTCCTCCTCCTCCTCCTCTTCGAGGACCGAAGGAGGTGGCATCTCCACCGAGGCCGGCAGGCGCCAAACGGGGGCGCGTCCGCCGGCGGAAGCTCGGCGGACGGCGGCCAGCAAAAATCAGGAGGGGAAAAAACACAGGCACAATGAATCGTCGATTCCCTCGAAAATGTTGGAAAATATGGGAAGTGGGGGGGAGACAAAAAGCCCAGAAAAGATGGGAAAGATGGGGAATCCTTGTATTTGTGTCTATCTATTTGTGTGTCCCAGGGCCCCTTCAAGAGAGATGGCAACCGTTGTGAAGTTCTGGGTGTCCGGAACATGCCGCGAGCTCCACAGTTGCGGGGTCTGTCTTTTCTCAGCACCGCGGTGCACCTCCGCGGCCGGCACCCGAGGAGTGGATCAAGTACGAGGTGGGCCAGAAGATCGTGGTTTCCGAGAAGTTCAAGGAGGGGAGGACGACGACGAGGAGGGAGGAGGCTGGGGAGAGTGAGCAGGAAGAGGAGGAGGAGGGAGGACGAGGAGAGTGGAGGAGGAGGAGGAGGAGGAGGACGACGAGGAGGTGGAGGAAGAGGAGGAGGAGGAGAAGGAGAAGGAAGAGGACTGGTGTAAACCCAAGATGCGCTGACGACGTTGCAATACACCCTCCCTCCACGGTCCCTCCTCGTATCACCCTACAAAGATATGTTTTACATTGCGGGAAGATGCCCCTTAAGACAATCGTCAGAGAAGCGTCAATCGTGCCAAAACACCATTCCTGGGAAGTCAACGCCGCGGATCAACGCGACTGCTGCGCCCTGAAAATTCTAAATCGTGCCAGCACACCATTCTTGGGACGTCAACACCGCGAATCAACGTGAGTCCGGACAAGCCGAAATCGTGCCAGACCACCTTTCCTGGGACTTCAACCATACGAACTTTTGAGACTCACGCAAATTTGTAAGACGAATGTGCGCAGTGCTGAGGCGAGAACCACCACATGTTGCAAGCCAGCTGCCCTCCATCCTTGAAACTGTTACAGAAGTTTCAAGTGGATGCGCGTGGCGCGAAGGCGAGAGCCACATTGTGCAAACCAATTGCCCTCCGTCTTTGAAATTGCTTCAAACCTTTCAAGCGAATCTGCGCGGCGCTGAGGCTAGCACCAAAGTTTGAAAACCAGCTGCCCTCCATAATTATTTGAAACTGCTGTACATCTGAAAAACGAATGCGCGCGGCTCTAAAGCGTCAGCCACATGTTGAAAACTATTCGCCCTCCATCTTTGAAACCGTTGCAAATGCAAAGCGTCAGGATCATACAGGGCGAGGAAGTCTCAGGAGAGACGACCGGCACACCCTACTGGCCTGTCTGGGGGTGCGACGGGGTGGAGTTACGTGTAAGGAAAATCGTTGGAGGAGGAGGAGGAGGAGGAGGAGGAGTCCTTCCCCCTCCTCGTCCCTCCTCCTCGCTCAAGGAGGGGGACGTGATCGACATCCACGGCGTCAGCAAGGACGGGCACTGCAGCGCAGAGTCAGCCAGAGCATTTGCACGCCAGCACTCGACAGAGAGGTCACCTGGCGCTTCCGGGGGGAGGAGTCGGAGCCTTTGGGTCTTGGGCAGACGTCACGCGATCGAGCGAACTCCAGCCACCGCAAGTGCGTGCGCATAAGAGCGATGGGGCGCCGAGGGAAAAGGACTGGGGGGCCCAAGCTTCTTTATGATCCGTCTCCTTCCTCGCCATCTCACGTCCCCCTCTGCCTCGTGCCCTCCCCTCCCTCCCCTCTCTCCCGTCCCTGATCCTCTGTCCCATCTCCTGCTCCGCCCCTCTCTTGCTCTCCCCATCCCTTCCATCCCATCTCCTACTCCAGATTTCGTAATAAAAGGGAGGGGGTCTGGACCCTCCAAGACAAGCCATTTCAGACCTCCCCCGTGGGAGAACCCTCCAGAACACCGTCCCCAGACCCCCCAGGCCCTCCAAGATAGCCTGGAAGAGACCCCCCCCCCGAAATGAGACCCCCCTCCCTTTTGTTACGAAATCTGGAGTACCCTTCCCCCGTGCGACGACTGCAAGCTTGCCTGCATCGACCCATCGCGCTGCCACACGCCGCACGCTCTGCGCTTGCGGCGCCGCCCCCCCGCGCGGAGCACGGGAGGCGTCCAGAGGCCCATGCAGGGCCCAGAAATTGCTGTGCCGCTGGGTCAAGAGGGGCGCGGAGACGTCGCGAGCCAGGCGCCTCTTGTATGACGATCATTGAGTTCATCTATTTTGCTGTCGCTTTCACTCATTACCCCGTGCGGGGTGGCGGATTCTTCGACTATAAACGATAAACAAAAAACAAGCAGTGGCCCCGGAGGGGGGGGGGGGGGGGGAAAAAAAAAAAAAAAAAAAAAAAAAAAAAAAATCCGTTGCACCGTCGCGGGCAAAGCAGTAGAAAAGTCGTTTGCAGAAGAGGCAGGCACAAAGAGAGCTGAGGGCAGGGAGGAGCCTGGGAAGGGGGTTGGAGGGAGCATCGAGGATTCGGTCGGACGAAGCGAGGGGGATGGAGAAGGGGGGGGAGAACGAAATCCGGTGCACGCAGCTGGTTTTGTCTCCGCCGCCAGGCGCGCCCCTCGATGCAGTGTCGCCTTCGGCGCCGGGAGGCGCCGGGAGAAATCAGCTACGAGTTCTGATTCGGTCCCCTTTCGTCCTGCCCGAGCGGGCAGCAGCTAGGGAGGGAGAGGGGTGCCGTTGCGATGGTGATGGTGGCGATGGTGATGGCAATGATGATGGTGATGGTGATGATGATGGTGATGACGATGATGATGATGATGATGATGATGATGATGTTGATGATGCTGATGATGAAGATGAAGATGATGAGGATGAGAAGGAGGATGGTGGTGGTGATGATGATGACGATAAGGATGAGGATGAGGATAATAATGAGGGTGATGATGAGGATTAGGATGATGATGGGGATGAGAATGAGGATGATGAGGATGAGGATGACGATGATGACGGTGGTGATGATGATGATGATGATCATGATGATGATGATGATGACGACGACGGCGGCGGCGACGATGACGATGACGTCGTCGTCCTCGTCATCTTTGAGGAAAAGGGCTTCGCCAGCTCCATCAAGCGCTGGGGGCACCACCGGGGCCCCATGACCCACGGCTCCAAGCACCACCGCCGCGTGGGCTCCCTCGGCGGAGGGACAGGCGCCCGGGGGGCGACCGAGCGAAAGTGCCTCCTCCTCCTCCAGGCTCCTCCTCCTTCCTCTCCTCTTGTGTCCCTCTCTCCTCCTTCCTCTCCTGCTTCCTCTCCTCTAGGCTCCTCCTTCTTCCTCTCTTCTTCTGTCCCTCTCTCCCTTCGTTTTTATTGTGGGCCACGCTCTGAGCGACGGAGGTCGCAGCGTTTGAGCGCTCTCGGCAGAAGGAACTCGGACCACCTGCGATCAGGTCAGTTCAGCAACATCAGAACCTCCATGCAGACGAAGCGGCGCAGGAGGTGCGAATAAAAGCAGATAAGTGGAGGCGCCCGCTGGGGCGAGATAGTTAGTTCTGCGGTGATGAGAAGGGAGTGCACGGTGGCACCAAATCCCCGCCCCCCCGCTCCGTCCAATAACCCGACCCTTCCCAAGAGCATTGTGATTGTGGCCCTCGCCGAGGGCTTACCCGCCAGTCGTTGAAAGTAGGCAGTTCTGCATGCCCAGATCCCAATTTATTTCAAGCGCCTTCCTACTTCAAGGATCGATATGCTTACGATCTGTTTTGTCATTCTCTGGGAGGGCCTTAACACAAACTGCGGGGTCCGCCTTCCTACTTCACGTGTTCCTGTATACCTCTTCCGACCGACGTGTACAGTGCAGAAGGCCTGTACTATGATGCCTTGAGCTCGATCATTCCTCCTGCTCCTCCTCCTCTTCATTCTCTTTTCCTGTTCGGGGATCGATGCGCTTCACCACCAGAGAGATCGAAACGGTGGCAATCAAACATCGCGCAGGATCAAACACAGTCCAGGGGAAGCAGGGCACATTTCTTTCCGATAGATCCGGTCCATTCCTTCGGTTTTGCCCAGCTAAATCCGATTCGATGCAGATTTCAAGTCGATCTGATGCGGTACGATGCCTGCACAGCCTTGCTGTGAATCCTGGCGCGACCAGTTCGAGCCGATTGCGACTCCGCGTCAATGCAGCCAAGTCCAGTGCATGCTCCAATCCGACCCCATGTAATCATTCGATGGTGGCCATTATTGGGATGGGGTCGGAATGTGGTTGGACCCCGTACTAAAAAGTTTTCACGTCGGAGGTTTGCGTTCCATAGATTCCATCGGGCCCAGTACGTATTGAAAAATCACCATTTCGGTAATGCTCCGACTCCACCCCTCGTCCTCCTTCGCCTCACCATCCACTCGGGGAAGAGTGGCGGAGACATCGACTACAGCTAGCCGGCTCATGTCAAATTGGGGTAAGAACGGTTTGCACAGCTTAGGTTTCATTTGTTTTGAGATCGGAAAGGTATAGTCGATGTCTCGGCAGCTCCAGATTACAAGTTGTTCCCTCGATTGGTTCCCCCTCGATTGGTTCCCCCTTGCGGCTCCCCTCAGGCACCGCTCGCCTTTTCCCGGGCAGGAAGATGCCTGCTCACCAGGGTGGTTTCCCTTGCAAGACGAGAACCAAGATCTTGAAGATCATCGACAACATCGATGAGGACAACATGCCCGAGACAATGATCGTTGTGAAGGGTCTGGGCTTCTGCGTGGGATGGGAAATAGCACTGCGGAGGGTTGGTCAAACAAGCGTCCTGGTTTGCCTATATGCCCGTGAGAAAATGTTATAAGAACCTTCTGGTTTGCGCGACAGGTTCTTAGAACATTCATTATTGGGACCGTCCTGTTTTAATACATCGGGCTAGTATAATAGTATAAGAACATTGTTTTTGTTATCAGAACATGTTTACGGGGCTCTAAGAACATGTCGTGGTAGGCCTATCTATAGGGATGCGGGGACGGTCGGTCCTTGCTCAAGCTGGGTTGGTGGGCAGAACGGTGACTTGGCACAGCCAGCTCGTTGCCTTTCCTCTTTCCTCTTCTCCTTCCTTTCCTTTGTTTACAAGCAACGCATGTGCAACACACACATATGATAATCTAATACAACCTCATGTAAGAACATATCATGTCATATCAATAAATACCGCCACCCCCCGGCCCCGGGTCCCACACCTCCCCGTGACATCTCGGGAACGCTCCCGGTACCGCTCCCCGGGCCTTTCCCGGGAGCCTCCACAGCGCTCCAGGAGGGCCCAAGACGCTTCCCAGGAGCCCCCAGAATGCGAAAGGATGGCCCAAGACGCTCCCAAGCAGCCCAAGTCAGGTTCCGGCGGCTCTCGAGGCTCCAGGGTGGCCTCCAAGAGACCCCAAGAAAGGTCCGAGAGGCGTCCTGGGACGGCCCGAAGAGGCCAAAATCGTGGGCGTTCTTTGTTTTTGTTCAATGTTTTTGTCTAGCGTCTAGCGTCAAGCGTCACATATCGATACTGCACTTCCCAGCAGATGCTCTTTCGAGTGATTACGCACTTGATTGTTGACAGTTGACTTCTCTTCTCTTGCGTGCTCGATTTCGGAGGAATGATCCGCAAGGAGGCACCTTCAGTGGGTCAATCGCCGGAGGGCAAGCACAAGAAGGGCAACGACCCCGACCTTTCCAAGATGTCGGACAGGGAGATCCTCGTCGATCTCTACAAGATGATGCACCAGCACTCGACTGACATCAACGATATCCGCGACACCGCAAATCTAGCATCCACCACGGCGACTTTAGCAATGGAAGCAGTAACGAAGCTACAGGGGCAAGTTGCCGACATCAACAAAACGTTCACCAAAAACAAGGAGGACACGAACGAGCTACGGAACACCATCACGAAGAAAGCTTCCACCATGATCTACAAGGGTAGCGACTGGGACTTACAGGTAATCTTCGGTGGACTGGAGTCGGAGATCCCAGAGAAGGACATCATCCAGCAGATGACCGACATTCTCAACGAAATCAGCGTCATAGACAATATCGACAGCACATTCACCTTCAGCGATCCGGGCAACATGGGCATAGCACAGTTCAAGACGCATGCCGGGAAAGTAGGGTTCCTGAAAAAGTGGCGCGGCAAGGAGGCCGAGTGGAAGAATGGAGACAAGTTATAGTGCAAAAGCAATGACCCAATCGAAAAACGCCTCGTGGACGAAACACTCGGGCAGGTGAAGCACCAGCTTATGAATACGGGCCGTGCACAGCAGTCTATCCGCATATTTTGGGATAGAGGTACAATCAAGTATAAAGGCAAGCTGATTGCAGATATCACCGAAGACGGCCAGCTGACCACATACGGGGAGGGAGACAACGTCAAAGAAGGCGTCCAAGCATTTATGGCGAAGTGGAAAGCGGCGCGAGATCTACAATGATGGCAGTTTCCAACAGTTTCACCATGTAGTCAATTCTCTCACGGAGCCACAAAGTACTCCAAGGGAGCTGCTGGCGACCGGCATCATCGGCGACATGCGCAGGAAGATGCGGCTTTATCTCCGACCTTCGACTTCAACTACGCCCAGGACGGCGCTCCCCAACCCACTCTCTCTTCTCGTTTCAACCCCGTCTCCGACCCGACGAACCCCGCCCAGACGCACCCGACTCTCCACCCAAACCCAAACCTTTTCACCCCGAACCCCCAAAAGGATTTACAACATGGGGGAACATGATACACAGATTCTTGTTGACACCCATGACGCGGCCAGGCAAGCCGTTAAGGTACCAGACAGGACTCTGCATCATCAGCACGGTTCTCGGCTACCTGATGTTCGGCCTGACGACCCGGAGTCAAGCGACATGCACTCCAAGGCTTCGCAAGACATGGTTTCACTCTTGCGGCCAGTTCTACATTCGCGCGCAAGGTGTCCAACTCCTTGTGCTGACAAGGAGCCTCGACATGGACATGGTCATCATCATTCGTTCCGGGTGTCTCCGACCTCGTCCTCTGCGACTCCGCCTCCAGCATCCGACGTCGTCCCACTCCCACCTCCACCAACCGACCTCCAGCGCCCACGATCCCCATGTCTACCTCCATCTGTCGACTCCCAGGCCCCTCCAACCCAGCATTCCGACCAGCAGCCTCCAAGATCCGACGTCCCATTCTCATTTCCATCCTCTGGCATGAATTTACATCCGCGGCCGGAGCAGCATCAATTGCAACAACAGCGACTACCTCAATCCAGCACCGGCGGCGGACGAGGACGATGCAGCCACGCAGAAGGTGACGCACCGTGGGACTTGCGACCAACGCGCTCTCTCCACCAGCAGCCGGCGCTGGACACGCATTATCCGACGGCGACAACCACAACACCAGCCTCCCGACAAACCACGACCACGACTCCACGACGCAGCAACGATGATAGGAACTTCACGGTCATACACAAAAACGCCCGGAGCCTCACTACCGACACAGCGATCGACCTTCTCTTGCAGGAGATTTCCGACGTACGATGGGACGTTGTGGCGCCCAATGAAACATGGCGGACAGAAGAACGAGAGTTCTGGGTCACGGAGCCTGGCGCGCACATATTCGCAGCTTCTGGGCATGACAGTCCGACGCGAGGTGTTGCATTCCTTGTTCATAAACGACATGCGCGACGCACGCGAAGCTTCAAAGCAGTTAACGAGCGGGTCACCTACATAGACGTCGACTTCCCACATCGTCTGCTCCGAATCGTCACGGCTTACTTCCCGCATGGAGGATGCAGTGACCAACGCGTGCAATCTATGTACGACGTATTTGCAGAAATACACGCTGATGCCCACCAACAGCACCGGACGACCATCGCCACAGGAGACTTTAACGCACGAGTTGGTAAACGGAGCGACGACGACGACGATTCCGGCGCTAGCAGGTCAGAGAAGCGTACTATTGGCAACCGCGGGCAGAGCGGGCACAACCAGCGCGGCACCCGGCTACGATCGCGGGCGTGCGTGCGCAAATTCACAATCACAAACGCGATGTTTTACAAGCAAGTCGACAACGTGTTCACGTACACGAGCGCTGGCACCAACCACGAGCAACCGCAGATCGACTACATTCTGATGGGTCAGCAGGCCCGGCATTTGGTCTTGGATTCGTTCGCCACGACGTGCCCCGACCTCGGCTCCGACCACCAAGCCGTGCACCTCCGACTAGCACTGGACGACGCGACACCACGAGCACGACGACGAAAACGACGACAGACACGCGCGCACCGAGAGCCTCCCCGACCGAACGACCCCGTTTTCCGGCACCATCTGAAGAGACACCTCACTACCATCATCCCTCCAGGTGGTCCCCGAGACACCGTTGCACACACCGAGCAAGCGCTAGTAGCAGCCCAGAGAGACTACCAGCAACAACAAGACCAACAACAACATCTTCAACAATACGCAGCTAGCAACGACGACGTGGCAAAGCAACACCTGCACGCACTTATTACGCAACGCAGAAACACACCGTACGCCGACACACCCACCCGAACAGCTCTCAGCAAACGTATTCTACGTGCGCACCGGGACATTAAAAGGGTTCAACGGCAGGCAATCCTGAACGACATCATCGTTCGTTTCCGCGGCCTGAACAAGATCTCTGGGAACAAGTCCAGCAAGAAGAAGGAGCTCATACCGGCCATGACAACAGCAAAGGGTTCCGACGAGGCGGACCGACAGGGAATTGCAGACGTCTTCGCGGACTTCTATGAGAAGCTGCACCGACGCCCTGGAAGCACTACTTTGCCCACGCCCAACAGCTCCCCAGACGCCCAAGAAGAATCAGCAAAGCAACCTCGACAGGGTATTCCACCATTCACCTACGAGGAGTTGCACCAAGCAGTGAAGCGTCTCATAAACGGCAAGTGCAAAGACACGGCTGGGCTCACCGCAGAGCTCCTGAAAGCAGGGGGAGACGCGATCGTGAAGCATTTGTTGGTGCTCTTCAACGACATTACAGCACTTGAGCAGACACCGCCGGAACAGTGGAGACACACCACCATCAGCATAATCCATATGTCCGGAGACCCGCAATGAGCAAGCAACTACAGACCCATCGCCATCATACCACTACTATACAAACTCATGTCCCGACTGTTTTGCAACCGACTTGACACACTCTTCGACGCGCAGCAATCGCCTGATCAAGCCGGCTTCCGCAAGGGCCTAAGCACAGAGGATCACCTCTTCACTGCAACTATACTTTGCGAGCAGTCCTACGAATGGCAGCTCCCGCTCTGGACAGCTGCCATCGATTGCAAGGGCTTTCGACTGCGTCGACCATCCGTGTTTGTGGGAAGCCCTGAGGAAACAAGATGCGCCAGAACCCTACATCACCTGGCTGCCAAATTCTACAGCGATCAAAGAGCCACGGTAAAGACCGACGTCAGAAGCAAACGATTCAACATTGAGCACGGCGTCAAGCAAGGGGACCCGCTGAGTTCATATTTGTTCAACGCGCTACTCGAGCAAATCTTCCGGAACATCAAACCAACTTGGGCACGAACGGACTTCGGCATACAATTGGGAAGTGCCCAGACGACGCGCTTGACCAACTTGAGATTTGCTGACGACGCACTTCTATTAGCGCCCAATCTACGACAACTCAAGTGTATCTTGCGGGACCCCAAACACGAAGCTGCGAAGTGTGGACTTACACTGCGCCTCGGCAAAACGAAAATCCTCACGCATGTGA